ACATAGTGATTGGAAAACAGCTGAGACTGAGTGCATTCGTAAGTTGATATTTAACATTTCTCTACTAATTTATTAATAATTCTAAAGACAGTTATCTTATAATTTATTATCAATAACTTCATTATTTTACAATATCAGTGTTGAAATTATTAGTCAAGATTACTATTACTCTGTATCTTTTTTACGCAGAAACAACTTTAATTTCACGTAGAAAACTAAACTTTATTAATATCAAATATGTAAATGCATAATGTAATATCTTCTATACATATAATGATTCTTTGTATAATTATATAGCGGCTGAAAACTTTGACGTGACGCCCGAAAAAAACGGCATGATAATTAATTGACGGATCAATCCAAATGTATGTTTTATGTCAAAAGTTTAAGTTTAGGTAGCTTTTAATTTTTGTGTATAATTATATTTAAATATTTAAATATTTTAGTACTTTGAATAGTATTTAAATGAATAAAATTCATCTTTTCTCTTATCATAGCAATCATATTCATGTCCGGCAAAATGGTACTTTCTGGTAATCCGAAATATAAATACGAATGAGACAGTCGTTTCTGAATTAGCTATGTCTTTTCCTTACAAGTTGCAACACTTACTGTCATACACTTCTTTTAATGTGACTATATTTCATGAAGATCACGTGTTATTTTCTAATAATATTCGTACACTTGAAGACGGTAAGTATGATTATATGTTAAAAATATTTAAAAAACGTTTGTTTGCATGTAGATGCATCGTTGCATATATATTCCAATTATAAACATCTTTTAAAAATATTTACAGTTCCATCTAAAGTGTTAGATCTTCACAGTTGGCTTATACCCATTTTATTGTTTCTCGTCATTTCTGTTGCAGCGTTTTATTTGTACACAAGGTAATGTCTTCTGTTCTAATTTAAAAAAAAAATTTCTACCTTTTAAAAAATAGTAATATTGCTAGCCTTATCTACTTATTCCTATCTGTAGTGTAAACACTTTAGATAGAGCCAGAGCTGTTGATGCTAATCAAATCAAATTTTAATAGAGTACAGATTAGTTCTCTTGCAATCTAACATGTAATTTTGGCAGGAAAAAACAGAGAGGGATTGAACAGCTAGTACAAGACGAAATGGCTTTGTCGCAGAATATTGAGACTAACGAACATAAAACGAAATCCGTGATATCGAATTCGAAGGAAGATCAGTCAACTTTTTCTGACATACCCTTATCGCAGGCAATCACTCCAGAAGGGCCGTCAATCGTTATTACAAACAACAAAGAGGAAGAAAAAGAAATATCATTAGTGACGGTAAAAGATTTCGAGGATTACGTCAGACAGTAGTGCTTTGACTATCATCTACGTGAATATCGATTATAAAATCCTTGGCAATACAAAAGTAACGCGGGGCATCAAGAACGTCTTCAACAACTACAGAGAACCACTGGTACTTATTACGGACAACTGCCGCGATATCAAAAATCATGAAGAAGCAAAATTTATCATGGAGAAGAGACCGTAAATGTAACAGCGATGTTCCAGTCAAAGTGTCAACGTCGCGTTAATATTTTACGAATCTAAATTATATTTTAAAATCCAACATTTATTTAATATGATAATCAATTATATTATATACTGACATTAGAAAGAAATAATTAAATGTCACATAAAAACAGTTTTCATTTTTTTCAAATCCCTAAACTTCAATTGATAATTAAATTAATAATATTTATATGTTTTTAGGAATTGTAAGATATAAATTTCAACGCTATAAGTATAAGTAATAAATTAATTTATGTAATTTAATGTGCTGTATTAACTTTATGTTCTTGATCTTTATATAAAAATTGAAAGATGTCTATTGTATCTCATAAAACCTTGTATCACGTAAAATATATTTAAATTTTACTCCATCTTATTAGCAAACTTATTTAAACAATATACTAGCGATATTAGAACGATTGTGTTCCATACTTTTCTTCATGCCAAGATTAGTTTACCTCGGTTCAACTTTAAGAAAACGTGCTTTTGGTTACTGCAATTTGATAGTTTTAAATTCGCGGTTCGATAAGCGATTACTCGCGTGTGATACTTGAGTAGCAACTGAACTTCGAAGATTACTCCTTGAAATTACTATGAATTGAATTTGCTGAACGAGTCTCCCACGCAACTGACTTGCAGTGAAAGGGACAATAGAGAACAGCGCAGGATAAGCATACCTTCGACTCGCGTTAAATCCTGTTCACATCATCGACGGTTTGTACTCACGCAAAACGGTCTTAGTTACAATATAATAGGAGACATATATAATCTTGCATTTTCCTCTTGCCTATGTCGTTCGTCGCTGTATACATATATGAGGATGCAAAAGAGAACAATGAACATAATTATGTTTCAACTAATAAAATTTCTTTATGTTCTTGAATGTTTTAATAAGAAAACGAGCATATTAATATATTATCATAGCTGAATTTTATTTATTAGCTCTTTGAGTCGAATTTTTCGGAATAGTTGACCTCACTTGTCTCTCACGAAACGCGACCATTCCACTCAATATAATAAAAGTCCCGTTATAATCGAGGATAATTCCGTCAGAGAGTAAATGTATCTCAGGTTCTTCGTACCAACATTATTGTTAGTTGCAGAAACATGGATTCTCGTTGGATCATTTACGTTATGACAGAATCCCCATAGAGATACGTAAAACAATGAAAAGAAGCAATCTTTTGATCAATATTCTCTTTCGATCAATACTCTTCGACTAAATTATAACGAATATTAAAGAAAGATTACTCTCTCAATGCTAGATTATTTTCCAACACCGTTTTATGTCAAAAGTTATTTTAGAAATCGAGGTCATCTGTAATCTTATAACATAATATCATATATAGTTAAGTTAATCAGGATTGTTGACGATAAGTTAGAATAATATTTGAATTAATATTTGTTACTTTAAATTACACGGGAACATTTAATTTTAGCCGCTTTAGTCGTTAGAAGTTATATTTTCTCTCATAATTAATCTTATTATTAATCTCTGTTTTGAATTATGTAATCATTCATTAAATATCAAGTTTTCATCTAATAAAATGTAGGATAATCTTAACGTTACCATAAAAGCGTATAGAAAGTAACAGATGAAAGAATAAAACCGCACGCGATATTACCGCGTCTCTTTTAAGATTTCGTCACGATAGTAATCATGGATGCATAAGGATTATGATTGACTAATGCGAAATGCTAAGGATCGTTATTAGTGCTGTTGTGTAATTAGGAGGACGATCTCGAGAAAGTGTAGCTTCCAATGGCTGCTGGGGATAAACTGCACATTGCGCCATAACGGTGTATATCTCAACGGATCTCAAGAATCCGTTGGATCGAACGAAAGAGAGGACTTTCACGATGTTACAGCAAAATCATTCTGCCATCGATAAGTCGTTCATGCGGAAATTATGAAGCGCTTTCAAGAAGTTCGGACGAGAAGGAGATCGTCGGACCGAAGACATCGAACTTCCGATCAAACCGCAAACACTTGCTCAAGCGGATGAAGTTGCGTTTTAGAAAGATATGCAAAAAAATCAGATCCTAGTGCGTGATTCCGTACAACGTGAAAATGACCGCGATTTGTGGGATACGTTACATGTGGAGCAAGCCGGAAAGATGCACGACTGCATCTTTGTACAATTGGATATGGTTGTTTGCTTTGCTCGATAGTACTAATTGAAATAAGCAATATAATATCTAGCATCGCATTTTATTGATTTAGTTTGAAAGCATGTATCACATTTGCAAGATAGACAAATACCTAACGTATCTAGATCTATTCAAAGATCCGAATATGAAAGAAAAGCGTTATCAAGCATTGTTTTTCTTAAAACACGTAAAATTGATGCAAAAGTAAAGAGATGTGCCTCTAGAAATTTTTCAAAAGCGAAGAAACCTTCGAGATAGAGAAATCTTAAGTCACCGCTCGTACATTCGATTAACAGTTCAACCGTGAAAATATCAGGGTCGATCTGGTTTCCGTCTACCTCGTGATATCTCTTTTTTTTCCTCTCTGTGTCTGTACTTTCACGCGAGCGTGCATTCGTAAAAAAGGCCCCGAAAAAGCGTACTTTTGGCGCTCCCGTCGTTTAAGCCACGCGCGCCGTTTCGAATCCTTTCATTAAAATGACTTTTCGACCGTTAACGTGCCGGTATGCCTAAGAGCACGAGAGATATATATTTGGTACTCGGCGAGAGCGAGCGAGGCAAACGATGTGTTTGCGACCGAAATGCATTCGTGTTGGAGCAGCTGTTACTTTATCGGGGCACGCGTCTCAACGGTCGTGGCAGCTGCCCAGAAAATCGGCTATGGTAGCCTCACTCTGAGTTCTTTCACGTCCACCTAATTTAGAGATGTTTTTATTTTATATATGTAATTATATTATTCGAGCATTATTATAAATTAAGAAAATATTTAGGTATGTGTGTATGTTAAAAAATAAAAATTAAAATAAAGTAATTTGATGTAAATAGACGATATAAAGATTGAATCCACAAGAATATAATAGATATTAACAAGTGTATTACAGTCGTACAATATTTATTTTTAACAACGCTTCCGTTAAAAAGTTTTTCCTTTTCCAGAAAGAAAAATGCTTGTTACTTTTATTTTATTTTTTAAATATTTACTATATAGAAAAGCGAACGATCATTTAATATTCTGACCTTTCAAAAACGTCATGAGTTTCGCGTAAACGTAAATTTTTATATATTAAGTCGTGAAAAAGTCACAATTTACTTCAATGATAGACGCATTCTTCGAAGGCATTTAAAGTTTAAATTACTCCGTCAGAAAATCGTCGAACAGACGCAACGGTCGAAATTCTGAGCGAAGTACATTATAGCTGAAGGGCCCCCCCCCCACTCTGTGAAGGGACACCGGGCCCGTATTACGTGAAACTCCGTGACAACCCCCCGAGCAAGCGCGTATACACGCGCAGATACGAGGGAACGCATGGAGAAACGCCCTTTGCGCATCTGCTGTTAAGGGAACTCGCGAGACAGTTTAACGAAGGCAACGGTCGTGAGCACATCGCGTAGCGATTGAAAGTGCGCATTCTTGATGAACATTTTTACGCGCCGACACACATTTCGTATTCCGTTCGGAAGGAATTAATCCTTAATTTTATGATTAAAATCAGAATTAAATTCAAAATTTATTGTCAAACTTTAAACCAAAAATTACAAACACATTCTTGTGCGTGTGACTCTTATATAGGTGAAGTTACTAAAGGTACTGTGTCGTTATTTCGACACAAATGAAACTTTTAATTATTTAATGGCCCTGTTCTCCGAAGAAATCAAGTGAGCGATTGAAAATTGTATGGTATAATTTAACTGTTAAGACAAGAAAAGAACACATAAGGAATAGCTTCAATGTGTTGGAACACTTTTGAAATTTGTGCACAAAGATGTGTAAACAGGCTTGCAGATTAATATACAAAACTGACTCATCGTCGATGCGAATAGTGAACCTCGCATTGGAGACTTGGCGATCTCCTATTTATGTCAGTAGTATACTAGTAATACTCGTCAATAGATCTTGAATCCTGGTGGTTTTTTAGATTTTTATTCTCCGATTCCGTTAATGTATAATAGTGTCTAAAAGATTCGTCGATTTGTGTGTGTTTGTGATCGTAAAAAGGATTATGTTTAACAGTATTAGTGAGATTCGTCAGTGTTCCACAATATTTAATAATTTCTTCTATAAATCTTGAAGATCTGACTCCTGTGATTACTTCTAAATACTCGAAGTTGTCGCGAAAAGTCCAAATCAATTTTTATCAATGAAATGTGCCAAACAAAATATATATTAATTTTCGTCGTGTTTTACATAACGTAAGGATTTGGAGAACATTTTATTCTAAATGGAATTTGCGACAGCAGTCTGTAAAAATCTTAAAGAAATCCTTTAAATCATGTTAAATGTACTACTTATTTAGCTAATAACGTCTCAGACTTGACCATTTAACTCTCAATTTATCTCCGCGATTTAATGTGCCAGATCTACTCGTTCGAATCAAACCTAAATATACCAGCTTAATTCAATTCCTTTCTTGATCATTTACAAGTTTTTAACAACAAGCTTCTCAACGAAGATTGCCTCGCGAAAACGTTTATTTTTCTCTTTGATCGAAAAAGCGAGAAGATACACATGAGATAGCTACGAACAGCAATCATGGCTCAGCCACCTGAATCGGTGCCGGTGCATTGCTACACGAATCCGTCATTCTGCCGTCAATCGGAGTACATCCCGGACGATCATGTTAACGACCTGCCGCCGCCGCCGCAGCAGTTTCAAGGAAGCGACGATTTACCGCCGCCTCCGCCGCCGTTGCAATTGCAATGTCACGCCGCGGGTCAGAGCAATCCGGCCTTCCAAGCCCCGCCGGAGACAACGTTGAACGTCTGCGAGTCACGAGACCGGTATTGTTATCTGGAGGGTAACAGGGCCCCCACGCACAGGAGATACGCCAGTCTTCCGGTGGAGGAGTCTCGCGTGACTTACAACCAGTCCTCGCGATACGAATACATAGAGCAGGACGAGGCGGAGAGGAGCCAGTTGCCGCGCAGGAACTCGTCGAGGTACGAGTTCATTCCACGCCAGCAGGTGCAACAACGTTCCGCGCCGGCGACCAACCAAGACGATCGAGGAGGGCCGCAGAAGCGAACGTGTCGCAGCAATGCCGGTAGATATGCTCTTATACCGGGTGACCAAGACTATCAAGAAGACCACGGCCCGCAATGGAGTAATGCGAAATCGGCGCCTCGACACATCAACACTCCGCAGGGTAATTACCCAGACTTTACCTTCAGTTTTAAAAATATAAAATCTTTCTTCGCGTTTGCAATCGATTTAATAAAAATTGATCGATTATTTGAGTCTACAGTACGAAAAATAAATATGTATAATATATAAATTACCTGTTTAAATTTTTAATTGCATAATTTGCAACAGGTCGTTACATTAGAGTACCTCTGCAAGAAGAGATTCCGCCGGCACTTCCCGAGAGAAACGCACAGGAGCTCTCGGTTTCGCCGAAGAATAACTTAGCTACGCAGAAACTACATGAAATACTATCCACACCCAGAAAACCGAGATCCAGATCCGAAGAGAGGACTCTATCGCCGAAGAGGCAACAATCATTCAATCAAACCGGCACACCGCAACGAAGGGCACTCACTCCTGCCGGATCCCCAAATGGTTTGAAATTTATTATTGCATATATTGTGTTTTCTTTAATGTGTATAAATATATAATATATATTGCACTAAATAATATTTTTCATAATATAATAAATAAATAAATATGATGAAAGATTAAATTCTAGAGAAATATATCCGCTGAGAAATTGAAAATATATCATGTTTTTTAGATACTATTCTCTCACATTATACTGTTTGTTATACTTTTAATTAATTTTTAAATAATTTTCCAATTAACAAAATGGAATTTTTTTCTGTTACTTCTGTCAGGTCGTACCTTCAGTCCAACGCGCACAACTCCTCAAGGCACACCTCACCGAGCCTTCTCGCCCACAGGACCTCAGACTTCGACGCCTAACAAGGAATCATCAGCTCGCAGATGTCTTCCTCTGCTGGAGAACTCATCCCGACAGCAGGACCTTTGTCCAGCCAGTAATTGCGGCCGGCTTCGTTACGTTGGTACCGCCCCGGTAGATTTAATGAACATGAGTCATGAGCCGCCGCCTCGCTACGCTTATACGGAAAGCGGTCTCGAGTCCATGCCGATGATGTCCGGATCGCCCAAGTATCAGGTGGTACCCGCCGAACAGAAGAACTATCAAAGCGTAGAAAGCGCATTTATGGCTCGAACCGCCGTCGTAAGTGCAGATAATGAACTAAGCAGATAATGCTGTGGTAGACAAAAAGTAATAATTAGTCTAATAAAGATTCTTCTCATATTAGGTACCTCCATTATCTCCTCCGAATAGCGACGCGAATACGACGCTGGCGAGCGGTATGGAAAAACATGACAGAAAGAGCGCACCGATACTTTTGATATTAGTCGGTCTCCTCACATGTGGTCTCGCCCTGTACCTATCCTGGTCGCAAGGAAGAAGGTACAACTTTTCAAAAAGAAAAAACTTTTTAAATAAGAAATTATAACGTTCAGCATCAGTTTCTCTCAAACAGTAATTACTTAAACATTTTAAAAGCATACGTTTCTTTTACATAAATGTTAAATAATTTTATAATCAATATTTAATAGGAAAAACGTTGTGTTTTTAGATACTACTTCGACAGTGCGGTCGGTTGCGGTGCCTGCTGCGCTCTAGCAGGTGCATGCAGAAGTCTGCGAAAGACCTGGACAGGACTTGGCCTGGCTGGACTGTCGGCATTGAGCTGCGCTGGTCTTCTGCTGCTCGCCGCTAAATCTCCGAGGGACGGCACACCCCTTCATGATATTACGGCCGGCGCCCTGTGCGGCGTGTCGGTCTTAGGCGCTGGTTTAGCCTTGTTGGCTCTTCTGAAGCCGAAATGCAATCTCGGACGTCATAGACGAGTACATTCTTGGATACCACGGTTCTCTCCTTAGGTTCTAATGCCGTTCTGACGACCATTAAACATAACTATATAATCACATTTACTTTAGAATTATTTTTCTTCCAAAAAGAGGATATGTAAAAATGCTACTGTAAGGCTGTTGAAGCATATATAATAAATATTTTTACTACATAGTTGGAAAATAATATTTTATTCTATAAATATCGAAATAAAATGAGTTGCGCGAAGAATATTTACTAAAAGTATATTTCAAAAAATTGTGCTATGGATAAGCGCATACCTTTTCCAAAAAGTATTAATTGAAGGTAATGAATTTTTTTGTAATCTTGAAAAGTCAAATGTTAGCTTTCTGTTCGATCAAATATGCGCAGTAAGATCTAAGATCTCAGCGACAAATTTGAAATGTATTGAAAATAGATTATTGCCATTCACAAGTACTATTAATTCATACTGCTTATAAGAATTGTTGCTCAAGCTCTTAAATTAAGATTTTATTCTATAAAATATTCTATATTCTATAAATTATTCTATAAAAGTTTATGAATTTCTTCAACATCTTTTAATGTCTACATGTTTTTCAAATTTTATCTGATGTTTATTTATTTAGCGCGGATACAACGATTGAGGCTCTCATAGATTCTCGTAGATATGAATATAGTTTAAGAGCTATTAGCATTTATAAGATAAATCATACGTACTTATTAGCATCGTTACGTCACACGAGACAGCTTTATAAATGACGCCTTCAAAACGTGTAAAGATTTCAGATTAAAGATGTAAGAAATGACTTACTTTTTATAAACTAAAAATTATTTTGTACGAAATATTTTGTAGAAAATAAAAATTATGTGAAAATACACTATTATGTATAATAAAATTTAGAAAAATATTTATAACTTTGTTACCATCCTTCCCTGGTAACCATCTCCGATAGAAAACAATTAAAAACGGCTATACTTATATCTGTATCGTTTTTAATCGTATCTTATCGGTTCTATCGTTGCATATTTAAAAAACAGATAAAAAATTAATCGAATCGAATCGGTTTCTATTTTAGATCCGAATAAGGAAATAACTATACAAATTTTATAGTTGTGAATCGTTTTTTATATGTACAATTATTGCCCGTCTGAATCAATCGTATATACACGATATAGTATATATTGTTATTTATGGTAATAATTTTACCGTATGCACACACACACATACACGCACGCACGCACACACACATATATAAAAATAAAATAATAGACATCTTATCGATATTTATATACTTAACCGAACCAACACATCTATCGTTTTTTACCAGGATTTTTCGACATACGACTTATCATCTTCTGTACTGCAGCTAATAATAATTCCTTAATTCACGGATTCGTAACAATTGAAATGGATTGACTAAAACCGACTTAAACGATTCACTATTTTGTAACGTGAGTTGGAGTATCGTAAATAAACAATTCACTAACCATATTAAAAACGATAGAAACTGATGTGCAGCTAATAAGACATTTACAATAGGATCCCAAGTATTTTGTGACGTAAATTTCTGATAGAGTATTGTAAATAAACAATTCACTAACCATATTAAAAACAATAAGAAATTTTTTATCGTTTTCTATCGTTGGCGGTTATCAGGGTTGTTTCAAGCAAACATTAAGTTCATATGCGATACAATTATTTATAAAAATTTGTGGTAGGCTATAAATTTCTCAAAAATGTAAAGATGATCTTGAATTACAGAAATATCTAAATCGCTAAGAGTTTTACATTTTGTGCAAATCTATTATTTGATCACGAAGAAAGTAAAATATTTTAAGAAATATTAAGTTATTAAACCTAATAGATAACGAAATATTTAAAAAAACAAAATAACAAGGAATTGGAAATTTAATATCTTAGAT